AGGCCGTTTGCCTAAGGTTAATAAAATGCCTACTAGCCGTAATGAAAAACTAGAAAATCTGTTGAAGTCGTAACATAAGCGTGTTATTCCAAAGGTAGCGCCAGATGACATCTTACGTGACGATAATTTAAAAGCGAGGAGCAGGAGTAATTGTCAAAATAGTTGCTGAATATTACTATAAAACGTAAAGTAATCCTCTATCCTCTAAACTGAGTGCAGAGCATCGCCTGACAGTAAGGTACGAAGTCTGTTGTAAAGTTCGCTTTGGATGCGGTAGAGACCGCCAAAGTGCAAGACATTCGAAATAAAAGGCAACTAGGAGCTTGGTGCAATTAAGCATTCATTTGAATCAATTTTGCGACAGTCAAAATGCAATGGAGAGGTACACAATTTGGCCTGTTATCTCCTCAAACTCAAACGTTATTGAACTGCTGGTCATAAGACATACGGACATCAAACAAGTACCTTCAGGAACCAACAAATTTACCTTTCCAGTGTACAGAAAACTGGAAAAAGAAAAAAAGGTAAAATACTGCCACTGCATCCCTGAACTAAGAGAGAAACGTTCAAACAATATGCCCGATTTCACATAACACTATACCTACGACTGCCTTCGTCAACAAATGCGCGGCGGTAGGAGCTGGGATTCCGGGAGCAGAAGGCTGAAAGAAAATTATCTGAAAAACCATAACTTAACGTTTTGACTAAGCCTAATAAGCTTAGAGAGATGAATCACAGTAAGAAAATTAAACGTGAACGACTTTACGGTTGAACGCCTAAGCACTTTTGGCAAAGAGCGGACTTGAACCAAAATCTCAGCAAACAAATTTTGACTTACGTTATCTTTAAGTGCGTCTTCAGCAAGGGATATATCCACGCCGTAGGCGATGAAACAAAGAAACGCGCCAATCCACAGCAAGATAGCGAAGCCACCGAATAAGTTTTTGGCGAACTTGATCCATTCCGGAGTCTTCGGAGGGGGGCTGAGGGCATTAGGGCCATCACGTTCCAGTCTAATCTTCGCCTCGACACTCGACAGGCCCTGAAACAAGTTCGTGATGACAGCGGCCAGTGACAAACCGATGGCACCTCTACTCACCGTGTTCGGATTCGTGTTATACCTCTGGTAGAGCTCTTCGAGGCTGATCTGGTGGTCATCCTGAAACGACGGAAAACGATAAAAATGGTCATCAGTCGGCAATTAACAAATCAACAATAAAATCTTAATACAATAATGGTAATTATGTGAACCCGGAGTCATCCCTAG